AAAAAAAAAAAAAAAAGACAAGAGTCTCACTCTGTTGCCCTGCGTACAGTGCCATGATGGCATCATAGCCCACAGCATCTCAGACTCTTGAACTGAAGCAGTCCTATTGCCTCAGCCCCAAGTAGCTGGGACTACAGGTGTGCACCACAATGCCTGACTAGTTGTTATCTGGGGTTTTTTTCTTTTTCTATTTTTCATAGAGATAGGGTCTTGCTCTTGCTCAAGCTGGTCTAGATTTTCAGAAATTAAGCCTTCCATTTGCCTCAACCTCTCAGAGTGTTAGGATTACAGATGTGAGTCAGCTTTTTTGTTTGGTTTTTGAGACAGGGTCTCACTTTGTTGCCTGGCCTAGAGTACAGTGCATCACAGCTTACTGCATAGCTTACTGTAACCCCAAATTTCTGGGCTCAAGTGATCCTCCTGCCTCAGCATCCCAAGTAGCTGGGACAACAGGTGCACACTACTATGCCCCCTAGTTAATTTTTCTGTTTTTTTTTTTTTTTGTACAGAAGGAGCCTTGCTACATAGCTCAGGTTGGTCTCTAACTCCTGGGCTTAAACGACTCTCCTGCCCAGCCTCCCAAAGAGCTAGTATTTTTTTTTTTTTTGAGACAGAGCCTCAAGCTATCCCCCTGGGTAGAGTACTGTGGCATCATAGCTCACAGCAATCTCCAACTCTCGGGCTCAAGCAAGTCTCCTGCCTCAGCCTCCCAAGTAGCTGAGACCATAGGCGCCCGCCACAATGCCTGGCTATTTTTTTGGGTTGCAGCCATCATTGTTATTTTGGCAGGCCTGGGCTGGATTGGAACCTGCCACCTTAGGTGTATGTGGCTGGCGTCTTAGCCACTTGAGCCACAGGCGCCGAGCCCCAAAGTGCTAGTATTACAGGCATAAGTTACCACGTCCAGTCTTAGATATCCAACAATTCACTTCAACTCTGACACTTATTACCTGTGTGTTAGTAACAGATTCCACAAATTTAAGGGCTTATCCCCGATGCCTCTCCCAGGTTACCCACACTTCTGAGTTGGCTGCAATTTGGGGGATTTTCACACTCTCCCTTCAGGGTGGATAATTTGCTGGCATGAACTCAGAACTCAGAAAATGCTACACACTTCCTATTTAGTTTATTATAAAGGATAAAAATGAACAATCAGATCAAGAGGTACACAGGGCAAGGTCTGAAGCATTCTGAGTGCTGGAGCCCCCATCTCTGTGGAGTTGGAGTGTGCTACCCTGTTGGTACCAACT